AAGTTGTTTTATTGAGTTACTGTTTTATTGTTAACCATTGCTGTGTTCTTTGCAGGAATGCCATTCAGCTGCAGCGCCGACTTGTTTATTCTGACAGCAACAGTGGGGGGGGGGTCTTGCTCTCAGAATATACATAAGTAAGTGTGTGCAGCACTGTTGGATGAGATTTTTCATCCTCAGTTAAAAAAAAAAGAGCATATATGCCAAAGCATGAGGGCCTGGGGTGGCCAGTGAATGGATGGCCCTATGCCTCTCTATATATTTAAAAAAAAAAAAATTTTGGCAGAGATTTCTTCATCCACATCAACCGATGTGAATAGAGGAATCTGCTTTTTTCTTTTTTTTTGTTTTCATTCAGCCCACGGGCTGAACGACAAAATAATATTTCATGTGTGCCCACTGTAACGGAACTGGACCCCGACTGCACTAGGGTATTTCCGTTAGACTCCCGCTTCCCTGTCCGAACACAGATCCACGGACATCACCGCTGACCATACAAGAGGAGACAGCATCAGACTTGAAGGATTCCAGGAGATAGACTGCTTTTTTTAACATGGATACAAGATATATACACAGGACAGGGAAATGCACACTCAGTAACAGGAAACACATCAGCAGGCAGTCCCATCAGGGGGAAGGGCTGCCGGAAACACCCCCCACCAAGCCAATGCACAAACACCTACATCCCATAATAGTTTGCTCCCAAGCCAGACACACAATAGAACAATGGGATGCAGCCACATGGCAGTGAACAATGAACAACCCCCACCTATACATGTCTACACAATAGCAGCTCATTCCACCCTGTACCCCTAACAGGCACAGGGTGACTTACACATAAGAGGGATATGGGGAGCTGAGACAGGAGTCTTCCCACCTCTCTAAAGGGGGCTGTGTTCCATGGGCCCCCCACCCAAAGTGACTCCCGACACATCCACCATTAGAAGTGAGTGGATGCAGGGCAGTATATTCCAATGGTGGGCATACCACACACTTTTTCTGGCAGAGATTTCTTCTTTTTTTTTCATTCAGCCTACAGGCTGCATAAAAGAAACAAAAAAAAACATAGCATATATACCCAACAAGGACCAGCGACGTACTGGTACATCACTGGACTTTGACTGGTTATACCAGGATGATGCCTGCAGCTGCAGGCATCATCCTGGTATAATTTTTTTCAGCTGGAAATGAGCTTTCATGTAAAAGCAATCCTAGTGGCTAATTAGCTGCAGGATTGCTTTTACACGCAGCGGGAGATGATGCCCCCCTTCTTCCTTCCACGGCCTTCTCGGGCAGTCCCGTGCTATTGGGGAAACCTGGAATGCAGCTGGTGTTTCTGCCAGCTGACCATAGATCTGATTGGAGACGGGAATGGTGCCAATCATCTCTATAGTCTAAGAAATCGGAACCTACAAGCATTTCATCACTTCAGTTTCGCAGGATACAAACAGCGCTATTTGTAAATTGGGAAAGCATCTGATCACACTGATCTTAGTGAGATTAGATAATGTAAGGAAAGAAGAGATATCTAGAGTCTGATAGACCCCAGATTTCTCAAAAAAGAATATCTGTCAATGCCCATTGAAGTTATAGGGGGTATTTGCATTCCCCGTGATAGCATTAAAAGTGATCAAAAAAGGAAAGGGACAGTGTAAAAAAAAAATCAAAACTAAAAAAAAGCATCCTCGCCCCCCACCTGCGTGTGCCAGCGTTGACCCCGTGCCAGTATGTAAACAGCGGTTGCACCATGAATGTTATTGCCACAAAGGTCAGATCAAGGGCAGTAATTCTAGCACTAGACCTCCTCTGTATATTTAAAATGGTAGCTTGCAAAGGCTTTTAAAGTGTTGCCTATGGATATTAAAAATGTATGCAGTTTGTCGCCATTGCACGGGGCATGCACAGTTTTTAAGCATGTCATGTTTGTTATCTATTTTCTTGGCATACCATCATCTTTTATGTTACGAAATGATTGGCCAATATATTGTGTTTTTGTGCATTAAAAATAAAAAAAGTGTATATTTTTTTTTAAAATTTGCATTTGAAAAATTGCTGTGTGAGTAGTATGTGACATAAAAAATTGCAGCACCCACCATTTTATTCACTAGGGTGTCTGCTTTAAAAAATATATACGTTTGGGGATTCAAAGTAATTTCCTAGCAAAAAATACAGATTTTTTTCATGTGAACAAAAAGTGTCAGAAAAGGCTTGGTCTTCAGGTAGTTAGAAGAGTGAGTGATGTGTGGCATAAACTTCTAATGCTGGGCGTAAAATGCCCCTACCCTCCAAAATGACCCCTTTTTGGAAAGTAGATACCCCAAACTATTTGCTGGGAGACATGTTGATTCAATAGAAGAATTTATTTATTTTGGAAAATTACAAAAAAAACAAAAAAAAAAAACAAATTGTCACTTAAATAATTTATTGCTCACACATGCAATTGGTATAAGTGAAATTACTCCCCAAAATACATTCTGCTACTTCTCCCGAGTATGGGGAGACTGCTAAAAAGTCTCTCACAAGTACAGGACCCCAAGATCCAATAAGCACCTTCAGGCTTTTAAAGGGCTTTATTTCCTCATTACACTTCCTGACTACCTATCACAGTTTCGGAGGCCCTGAAATGCCAGGATAGCACCAAGTGAGGTGAGTATTTTGCAGGCTTTCAAAGTGGTAATTGGTTTTCAGGCTCCTGTATGTGGCTAGGCTCCCAAAAAGTCTCATACATGTAGTATCCCCATATTCGGTAGAAGTAGCAGAATGTATTTTGGGGTGTAATTCCACATATACCCATGGCTTGTGTGAGCAATATATCACTTAAGTGACAACTTTGTGTAAAAAAAAAAAAATTGTCATTTTCCAAAAACTTGTGGAAATGGATTCAAAATACCTCTCAGCAGATAGCTTAGGGTTTCTACTTTCTGAAAAGGGGTCATTTGTACTGTCCTGGTATTTTAGCACCTCAAGAATTGTGATAGGCAGTCAGAAAGTAAAAGCTGTGTAAATTCCATTATCTATACCATAGTTTGTAGATGCTACAACTTTAACACAAACCAATTAATATGCATTTATTGGGATTTTTTTTTACTAAAGACATGTAGCAAAATACATGACGAAATTTCAGTTTTTCAGTTATTTTTAATGACAGAAATAAGAAAATATAATTTTTTTTCAAAATTTTCGGTCTTATTTTTGTTTATAGCGCAGAAAAAAAATCAAATACCACCGAAAGAAAGCTCTATTTGTGTGAAAAAAAGGACATAAATTTCTCCAAACATCTTCCAGGACAGCCTCCTTGAGATGTAGAGCTCCTCCCTCCGGGACAGGAAACACGTAAGCACAATACTCTAAAGGCAGACCTCCAGGCCTCCCTCTTCAGTTTTTAGTGTTTCCTGTCGGAAGGATAGGTACACGTTCCAAGAAACCTGTATGGCAGCCCAGAATAGTGCTGGTAGCTCCCGTTTTTTGGTACACTACCTCCTCTCCCGCCACGATCCCTCCATGACAGAGTGGAGTGGGGCTGTCAGGAATGGACTGGCCAGCAATGGTGGGACTCACCTGCCTTTTGATCTGCAGTACCAGGGCTGGCCAGCGGATGCTCCCAGCAATCAGAGACTCAACTCTGCAGCCAGCTAACACCTGGAACTGATTATGCTGGGGTATTTAAGGGATGGCCAGACCCACAGACTCTGCCTTGGTGTTGTGTTTCTCTTGGGCCCTGTATCCTGTTCCTGCTCTCTGTTCCTGTCTGATTCTCTGCCTGACCCTCTGTACTACGCTGCTTGCTACCTGTTCTGATCCCTGGCTTGTGACCCTGACCATCCCTCTGCCTGACCCTCTGTACTATGCTGCTTGCTACCTGCTGAACCTGGCCTGTGACCCCGACCATTCTCCGCTTGCTCCCCCTGTACCTACCTGCCCGATTGATATTGACCCGGCCTGCCTGACGACGCTTGCTTGTATGTACTGTTATCTGTGGGTGGTTGGTTTGGTTTGTTTGCACTGTGTTATGTTTTAGTATTGCACTGCGTTTATGTTTGTATTGTTAGTGTTAATAAATTATATTGTTTATCACATATCTGAAGTCTGCGTTTCCCTTCGTCAGTCACACACCTCTGGTCACCCGGGAGCCCTGACATTACACCAAGGCCAATCCTGACCAGAAGTGGCTGCACAGGGAAACCATCTTGGCTTGTTGATGGGAAGGATGGATCTGGATGAGGTTGTGTATTTATATCTGCTAGTGTTTGATGACAGGGAGTATGCTTATCAAACTCTGAAGGAGTATACCCGGGATGAACTGCTAGAATGTATACGGCTCGCTCGTGTTCTAGTAGATCAGGGCACAGAGTTCTCTGAGGTGCAGCCATTGATTGAGGTTTGTGCTGAGTTGGTTTCACCTGGTACCCCCGAATGCAGGGATGAAGTTTTGCCACCATTTAGTGCAGACCAGGTAGAGTCCCTGGTGTGGTTATTAGAGGATGATGTGGATTACTTTCTGGAGCGTTATTCCACATGTCAGTACCCTGTTCCCACTCGCTGCACCTATCCTGCCTTTAACCCTGTAAAAAAGCCCTCTGTAGCAACTGCTCCTCTCCTGTTCCATCCTCCAGCTCTTCTCTGTCTCCAGCTGCTCCATTCGTTTGCAGACCTGCGTTTACTTGCAGTGCTCCAGTAGTTAAAACCAGAAAAAAGCGAAAATTCTTTCCAACCAATACCATCCTGCCAGTATCCAAACCGGTGAACCTGCCGTCTGAGAACCTGCCTTCCGTGGTTCAGCCTGATGCCTCTCTTCAGCCTGATGCCTCTACTCGGCCTGAAGCCTCTACTCGGCCTGAAGCCTCTACTCAGCCGGACGCCGGCATTCAGCCTGATGCCTCTACCCAGCATGATGAACTGATCCAGCCTGACGATCCTATTAGGCCAGTTGACTCGATGCCCGCTGTTGATCCAGACGATCCGGTACCTGATCCGGTGCCCGCTGTCGTGCCAATTGACTCAGAGCCCGCTGTCGTACCTGGTGACTCGGTGCCCACTGCCTTGCCAGATGACGCGGTGCCCCCGCTGGCGAGCCAAATGACCTGATGCCTGGTGACCCAGGGCCCGCTGTCATACCTGGTGACCCGATGCCCGCTGTCGAGCCAGACGATCCAATGCCTGGTGACCCGGTGCCCACTGCCTTGCCAGATGACGCGGTGCCCGCTGGCAAGCCAAATGACCTGATGCCTGGTGACCCAGTGCCCGCTGTCATACCTGGTGACCCGATGCCCGCTGTCGAGCCAGACAATCCGGTACCTGATGACCCGGTGCCCACTGCCTTGCCAGATGACGCGGTGCCCGCTGGCAAGCCAAATGACCTGATGCCTGGTGACCCAGTGCCCGCTGTCATACCTGGTGACCTGATGCCCGCTGTCGAGCCAGACAATCCGATACCTGATGACCCGGTGCCCACTGTCGTGCCTGTTGACTCGGAGCCCACTGTCTTGCCAGACGACTCGGTGCCCGCAGTCCCGCCAGTTGACTCGATGCCCGCTGTTCCGCCAGACGACTCGGTGCCCGCAGTCTTGCCAGACGACTCGGTGCCCGCAGTCTTGCCAGACGACTCGGTGCCCGCAGTTTTGCCAGACGACTCGGTGCCCGCAGTCTTGCCAGACGACTCGGTGCCCGCTGTTCCGCCAGACGACTCGATGCCCGCTGTTCCGCCAGTTGACTCGATGCCCGCTGTTCCGCCAGTTGACTTGGTGCCCGCAGTCTTGCCAGACGACTCGGTGCCCGCAGTCTTGCCAGACGACTCGGTGCCCGCAGTTTTGCCAGACGACTCGGTGCCCGCAGTCTTGCCAGACGACTCGGTGCCCGCAGTCTTGCCAGACGACTCGGTGCCCCGCAGTCTTGCCAGACGACTCGGTGCCCGCAGCCTTGCCAGACGACTTGAAGCCTGCTGTTCCGCCAGTTGGCTCGGTGCCCGCAGTCTTGCCAGACGACTCGGTGCCCGCTGTTCCGCCAGTCGACTCGGTGCCCGCAGTCTTGCCAGACGACTCGGTGCCCGCAGTCTTGCCAGTTGACTCGATGCCCGCTGTTCCGCCAGACGACTCGGTGCCCGCAGTCTTGCCAGACGACTCGGTGCCCGCAGTCTTGCCAGACGACTCGGTGCCCGCAGTCTTGCCAGACGACTCGGTGCCCGCAGTCTTGCCAGACGACTCGGTGCCCGCAGTCTTGCCAGACGACTCGGTGCCCGCAGTTCCGCCAGTTGACTCGATGCCCGCTGTTGCGCCAGTTGACTCGGTGCCCGCAGTCTTGCCAGACGACTCGGTGCCCACTGTCGTGCCTGGTGACTCGGTGCCCGCCGCTTCGTCTGGGGGCCTGAGACCTGTTGCTCCGCCTGAGGGCCCGAGACCTGTCGCTCCATCTGGGGGTCCGGCGCCCGCCGCTCCGCCTGGGGCTCGATGCCTGTCGCCCCGCCTGGGGGCCCGATGCCTGTCGCCCCGCCTGGGGGCCCGATGCCTGTCGCCCCGCCTGGGGGTCCGATGCCTGTCGCCCCGCCTGGGGGCCCGAGGCCTGTCGCTCCATCTGGGGGTCCGGCGCCCGCCGCTCCGCCTGAGGGCCCGAGACCTGTCGCTCCATCTGGGGGTCTGGCGCCCGCCGCTCCGCCTGAGGGCCCGAGACCTGTCGCTCCATCTGGGGGTCCGGCGCCCGCCGCTCCGCCCTGAGGGCCCGAGACCTGTCGCTCTCCATCTGGGGGTCCGGCGCCCGCCGCTCCGCCTGAGGGCCCGAGACCTGTAGCTCCGCCTGGGGGTCCGGCGCCCGCCGCTCCGCCTGGGGGCCCGATGCCTGTCGCCCCGCCCGGGGGCCCGAGGCCTGTCGCCCCGCCCAGGGGCCCGGTGCCTGTCGCCCCGCCCGGGGGCCCGGTGCCTGCCGCCCCGCCCGGGGGCCCGGTGCCTGCCGCCCCGCCCGGGGGCCCGGTGCCTGCCGCCCCGCCCGGGCCCGTGTGCCTGCCGCTCCGCCCGTGGCCCGCTGCCTGCCGCTGCCCGGAGCCCGATGTGCCTCTGCCCGGAGTCCAGCCCGATGTGCCTCTGCCCGGAGTCCAGCCCGATGTGCCTCTGCCCGGAGTCCAGCCCGATGTGCCTCTGCCCGGAGTCCAGCCCGATGTGCCTCTGCCCGGAGTCCAGCCCGATGTGCCTCTGCCCGATGTCCAGCCCGGTGTGCCTCTGCCCGAGTGCCAGCCCGGTGTGCCTCTGCCCGGAGTCCAGCCCGGTGTGCCTCTGCCCGGAGTCCAGCCCGGTGTGCCTCTGCCCGGAGTCCAGCCCGGTGTGCCTCTGCCCGGAGTCCAGCCCGGTGTGCCTCTGCCCGGAGTCCAGCCCGGTGTGCCTCTGCCCGGAGTCCAGCCCGGTGTGCCTCTCTGCCCGGAGTCCAGCCCGGTGTGCCTCTGCCCGGTGTGCCTCTGCCCGGAGTCCAGCCCGGAGTCCAGCCGATGTGCCTCTGCCCGGAGTCCAGCCCGATGTGCCTCTGCCCGGAGTCCAGCCCGTGTGCCTCTGCCCGGAGTCCAGCCCGTGTGCCTGCCCGGAGTCCAGCCCGGTGTGCCTCTGCCCGGAGTCCAGCCCGATGTGCCTCTGCCCGGAGTCCAGCCCGGTGTGCCTCTGCCCGGAGTCCAGCCCGATGTGCCTCTGCCCGGTGTACCACTGCCCGGAGTCCTGCCCGGTGTGCCAGTCTTTGATATCCCGCCAGTTACCAGACCCGGGCGGGTGGAACATTTTTCCCAGCTAGGACTGTTTGGAGCGTCCTGAGGCCGCTCCTTGAGGGGGGGGGTACTGTCAGGAATGGACTGGCCAGCAATGGTGGGACTCACCTGCCTTTTGATCTGCAGTACCAGGGCTGGCCAGCGGATGCTCCCAGCAATCAGAGACTCAACTTTGCAGCCAGCTAACACCTGGAACTGATTATGCTGGGGTATTTAAGGGATTGATGGCCAGACCCACAGACTCTGCCTTGGTGTTGTGTTTGTCCTGGGCCCTGTATCCTGTTTCTGTCCTGCATCCTGTTTCTGAACCGCTGCTGACTTCTCTGCTCTGATCCCGGCTCGCTCCTGACCATCCCTCTGTCTGACCCTCTGTACCACGCTGCTTGCTACCTGTTCTGATCCCTGGCTTGTGACCCTGACCATCCCTCTGCCTGACCCTCTGTACTACGCTGCTTGCTACCTGCTGAACCTGGCCTGTGACCCCGACCATCTCCGCTTGCTCCCCCTGTACCTACCTGCCCTATTGATATTGACCCGGCCTGCCTGACGACGCTTGCTTGTATGTACTGTTATCTGTGGGTGGTTGGTTTGGTTTGGTTTGGTTGCACTGTATTATGTTTTAGTATTGCACTGCGTTTATGTTTGTATTGTTAGTGTTAATAAATTATATTGTTTATAACATATCTGAGGTCTGCGTTTCCCTGCGTCAGCCACACACCTCTGGTCACACCTTGGAGCCCTGACAGTATTGTTGAGCTTTGCTATTGTAAACTTCATATCTGAAGCACTTGCCATCTTTCAGTGAATTGGATACAGCTCTTGTTTCCTCACACAGGATTTGGTAGGATTGTAAATGCAGCACTTACTTGCTTGTAGTTCTCCTTTTTCCAGTGTCTGGAGCTGGGCCCATAACCTATTGGTTATGTGTTAGAGAAGACACTGGTAGCTTGTGATGAGGCAGAACTTGGTTTACTTGTGTGGCTTAAGTTGCAAACATACAGAACACATTTCAGCAGACATCTTGGTTTTTAAAGAGAGGAAGAGAGGAATAGGAAGAGAGAGAACCAACAAGTTTTATACATATGCACAACTGGTAACCTTAGTGTACAGTGCCATCTACTGGTCAAGTGATATTAACACACAATACTATATAGTACATGCTGTTGCATTCCCAACAGATCAATGGTGTCATGCAGGTCTCCTGCGGTCCCTTCTTAACATGGTACACCCTGAATATAGGTGTAACATGTAACATGTTACGAAAGGAGAACTTCTCCTTTAATTTTGCCTTCCCTATTGATTCCAATGCATTTCTAATTTTTCCCAATATTTCAAGGTAATAAAATCTCTCAATTTTACTCTTCCCTAATATACCTGATTCTGATCCCCTGCTCTCTGCTGATTTCCTGCTCTGTCGTTTTCACTACAACTATCCTGTTGACTTCCAATCACGATTATGTCTATACTTTCCCTCGCTCCACCATTAAGGGTGCCCAGCTTGGCCATAAATCCCCTGTCAGCAAATATTCTAGCATTCTTGGTCAGATCCTTCACTCTACATACGGTATGTGTTGGAGAAGAACCATGGTGTCACGTGACCTTGAGTCTCAGTTGACATTCTGTAATGCAGATCTGTGTTTAATGTCACTCTGGGATCTGTAGGGAGCTCATAAGAGGTTGTTTAGTGTTTTAAGGGCTTAAAAACTTTCCTTTACTAACCTCACTCCCGGGAGACAAATTAATCAAAGTCAAAATATGCTTTTAAGGGAGACGGCCTGTCATGATCCTAGCTGTTTCCTCTTAGATAATTTTACATGGTGTAACCTTTGAAGCAGAAATCTGACCTTCTCAGTGTATTACAGTAGCTCTGAAGAAGTCTCCCAGTCTGAAAGGTTTGCCCCAGAAGCAGACAGGTGTTTGGTTTCAAGATGATCACAACGGCCTGCTATTTCTCTCTGAGATATTTTGACTGTTGGAGAATTATCTGCATTTTTTTTGTTCTTCAGTCACAAAAGATGTTACATCCAGCCAACCGCTTCACTGCTGTCAGTTCATGTGTAGAATCATCAGGTTGACCTTTGACCTTGTTCTGACACCAAAAAGGGACCTGAAATACACGTTTTCTCACATGTAGATGCTCTTCATACCTTTGTCCAATATTACGGTAAACTGACAGTTTTTATAGATATTTATGCAGAACTGAAAACATATTAGCCAGCCTACTGAGCAAGGATGGGGCTAGACCCTGATGGGATTAGGTCCAGATTTGCAGGTGTGCAGGTACATAACCTTATGTGGGCCAAACACTCTTTGATAACTGATCAATTTATTTTCCAATCGATTTCCTTTGATAGGAATATTCAGACTAGAGTTGACATCTCATTCAATCAATCCCACATGGAAGAAAAATATATTTCAAATATATTTTAAAAATATTCTTCCCAAATATATTGCCATATATTTGAAATGCTACAATTTTGGCCATATTCAATATATTTCAATATATATATATATATATATATACTGTATGTTGAAATGCATTTTTATTACAAAATATATGAAAAATATTTTTAAAAATAAATTTCAAATATACTGTATGTCTTTACAAATCTACATTTGTGGAATGCATTTACAAATATATGTAAAAGTATATGTTAAAATTACTTTTTTATGTTAAAAAAAAAATCTGAAGAATATATTTAAAAAAAAATATTTTTTTTAAATATATTCTTCAGATTTTTGGAATTTAATTTTATTTTTATAAAATCCTTTTCTTTTCCTTGCTCTCTGTCCTATCTA